CAGTGTACTTTCAAAGTACATGCACTCAGGTGACAGCACTTTAGATAGTTCATAGAACTTTTTGTTTATTCACTGCCGCCTATATATACTACGACTCTGACTGGATTACGGATGAGAGGCGTTAGTAGACGGCATATGTTTAACATATATAAAACTGGAATAGAAAATGAAGCAGCACCTGAAAGTAAATGCAAATGTCAATGTGTGCTTGGTGATGGAATAAAAAGTGAAATTTTATACTATAGACACAACAAACCCATTCCCTTCAATTTTATAAAGATTTATAAATATTTATAAATTTCACAATTCAAACTGAAAAGAGAAGGTTCTTTTGGCTGATTACATTGAACATGCTCATTCAATGATTGGCTGGTTCGATTAAACATAATTCAACTTTTAGCTCATTGATTGGCTGCTTGGATTAAACATAATTCAACTTTTAGCTCATTGATTGATTGGCTGGTTTTAATTAAACATAATTCAACTTTACGCTCATTGATTGATTGGCTGGTTGGATTAAACATAATTCAACTTTAGCTCATTGATTGATTGATTGGCTGGCTGGATTAAACATAATTCAAATTTACGCTCATTGACTGGCTGGTTGGATTAAACATAATTCAACTTTTATCTCATTCAATGATTGGCTGCTTGGATTAAACATAATTCAACTTTACGCTCATTGATTGATTGGCTGGTTGGATTAAACATAATTCAACTTTACGCTCATTGATTGATTGGCTGGTTGGATTAAACATTATTCAACTTTTAGCTCATTGATGATTGGCTGGCTGGATTAAACATTATTCAACTTTTAGCTCATTGATTGATTGGCTGGTTGGATTAAACATTATTCAACTTTTAGCTCATTGATTGATTGGCTGCTTGGATTAAACATAATTCAACTTTTAGCTCATTGCTTGATTGGCTGGCTGGATTAAACATAATTCAACTTTACGCTCATTGACTGGCTGGTTGGATTAAACATAATTCAACTTTACGCTCATTGACAGGCTGGTTGGATTAAACATAATTCAACTTTTAGCTCATTCAATGATTGGCTGGTTGGATTAAACATAATTCAACTTTACGCTCATTGATTGATTGGCTGGTTGGATTAAACATAATTCGACTTTACGCTCATTGATTGATTGGCTGGTTGGATTAAACATAATTCTACTTTACACTCAATGATTGGATGGTTGGATTAAACATAATTCTACTTTACACTCAATGATTGAATGGTTGGATAAAACATAATTCTACTTTACAGTACACTCAATGATTGAATGGTTGGATTAAACATAATTCTACTTTACACTCAATGATTGAATGGTTGGATTAAACATAATTCTACTTTACACTCAATGATTGAATGGTTGGATTAAACATAATTCTACTTTACACTCAATGATTGGATTGAACATAATTCTACTTTACACTCAATGATTGAATCGTTGGATTAAACATAATTCTACTTTACACTCAATGGTTGGATTGAACATAATTCTACTTTACACTCAATGATTGAATGGTTTTATTAAACATAATTCTACTTTACACTCAATAATTGGATTGAACATAATTCTACTTTACACTCAATGTGAATTAAACATAATTCTACTTTACACTCAATGATTGAATGGTTGGATTAAACATAATTCTACTTTACACTCAATGGTTGGATTGAACATAATTATACTTTACACTCAATGGTTGGATTGAACATAATTCTACTTTACACTCAATGATTGAATGGTTTTATTAAACATAATTCTACTTTACACTCAATAATTGGATTGAACATAATTCTACTTTACACTCAATGATTGAATGGTTGGATTAAACATAATTCTACTTTACACTCAATAATTGAATGGTTGGATTAAACATAATTCTACTTTACTCTCAATAATTGGATTGAACATAATTCTACTTTACACTCAATGATTGAATGGTTGGATTAAACATAATTCTACTTTACTACTTAATTCTACGTGATTTATATTACTCCTGTTAATGGTTTATGTTTACTGTATTATTAGTCCCCGTTCGGACGCAGTCCAAAAACGGGGACTTATGTTTTGCCCTGTGTGCGTCCGTGCGTCCGTGCGTCCGTGCGTCCGTGATCACCTGTATCTCGAACATGCATGGACCGATTAAGTTCAAACTTCACTCATACATCACACATTATATGGGACATATGCACATGCATTTTTTTCATGATCCGATTAACGATAGCCGAATAGCGGCCATTTTAAGGCCGAAAATGC